TCCTTCTCTGTTCCTCTCCACCCACTCAAGCTTTTACTGTCCTACTCTCGGGCCTCTGGCCAATGGCACGGCTGGGCTCTCTGATCTCATTTTCTGGAATGCTGACATCAACTCCAAATATCCCCTTATATCAATCAGTTACATAATCATAATCAAATGCCTAGTGGTCCTCGGGTGCCCGTAAAATCATTTTAAAACCTTAGAATGCACACTCAGACATTTTGCAAGTTGAGTCACTGTGCTCGTATTCGGATCTTCTGGTGTGTAAACTCCTGTACCCTCCTTGAAATTAGTTTGTGATCTCATGCCTCCATGCTATTGTTCATTCTCTCCCTTCTGCTTCCTCCCTTTGGGACCGACTGGTGGAAGGCAGTGTAGTACAGTGGTTGGAAGCACCCGCTTGGGTGCCTGACAGGCCTCAGTTTATTCCCTGGCATCAGATTTCTAAAACATGTGACCTCAGGTAACATTTATAATAATAATGCACATGCTTAGCTAGAATGCTTTTGGGAACAGGGCGGACAGGATTTCTCTGTAGCCCTGGTTGTTCTGGAAATCGCTCTGTAGACCAGGCTGGTCTCGAATTCACAGAGATCTGCCTGCCTCTACCTCTTGATTAAAGGTATACTAGGATTAAAGGTGTGCGACATCACCACCTGGCTTAACTAAGACACTATTAATACAGTTTTTTAAAAAGATCTATTTTTCCATCACATTTTATATCCATCCATAATAAACTTGTTGATTTGGGAGTTTTAAATTGCTTTTTAGTTAATGTTCTACCAGAATTCAAAAAAAGTTAAAATATTTTCTTGTAGTTTTTATCCCAATACATTTTTCTGTTCTCTATGAAATTACATCAGTCTCACCAAGAACTCATCAGGGACTGGAATCCTTGTGCCCAGTGTCAAAGCTAATTCCTTTATTATGTTCTTACTCTGCACAGAGCTAATCTTATTTCTCTCATGCACTCTCAGGTCACCTAAGAACACTGACCCAGCTTTCGGATTAGCCAAGGCAGGATCTAGGCAGTTCCCAGGTCTGGTGAGGTTGGGGGGGGGGGGCAGCCATAGGAATCCAGGCAGAAAAAGGAACGGACCTCAGTGGGGAGTTAGGCAATCAGGAATGTGGCTGCGTGCGTTCCCCTCAGTCATGGAAACACCACACAGGGAAGAATAAACCTGTTCTCCGTAGCACTCAGGGGACTGCCCAGTCCTGCCCTTGTCTGTTCTCTCTCAATTTCTTTTTCGCCAAAGTCGGGAGGGACAGGTGCCAGGTGTCTGTAAAGGCATTTACATCAAGCTCTGCCTCGCCCCATGCCTCAGACCCCAGAGTCCTGTGATCTGAAGGCCTCTGTCACCCTCTTCTTTCTGCCTGCTCTCATCCACTACCTCATTCTCTCTTCTCTCTTCAGTCTCGCCCACCCCTTACAGCCCTCATTCCAGTAGAGTTTGCTCCTTTTAAAGAAAGACTCCCTAGTGCATTCAAACATCTGTCTCACTCACACAGTGTTACCAGAGGGCACCCACGCCCAGCAGGGAGAGTTTTCTGCTTTGAGCTGATGTCACTCCTACCACCGTTACATTATTGTCAAATTATCTCTCATCTTATGGTGACCTTATGTCATTATAAGATCCTGTAATTAAAGCAGTACTTCCATCACAGAAGGATAGTAGCATGAAATCTATGCCCCAAATAGGAATAGCATCATAGATCATGAATCAAGAGTCTGGGGGAAAAGCAATTCTAAACTTTGGACTCAAAGACAAAAGAGTTTTAAACAGCTTGGCTGTTTATACTGGGAACCTCTGATGTGCCCGTTGTCAGTCTGGTCAGTATGCTGTGTGTCCTGCTAGCAGACACCAGAGTTCACCTAAGACCCAGAGAATGGGACAGGTGTGAGAGGTGGAAATGATCAGAACTGCTGCGTTGCCTGACTTAGAAATGCAATGATTGCTCCTGAAGGTCATCATGTTAAAAGATGTTCATCCCTTCCTCCAGCATGTCTGGAGGAGGAGGCACACAGAGACAAAAGACAAGCCTGTAGTGCTCACATCCATGGTTTAAATGACTTATTAAATAATTAAAGAGACAAGGTTAGCCCCAAATTAGCCATGACATTTCTAAGATTGCTATCCTTAACACTGTGGTAAGCATCTTAGTTTACAGCCTATTGATCTGAGGTCTGACGCTTTTTCTGTGTTATCCACTATGAAACAGTGGAGCCTTCCATCTCCCCACATAAACAGGGTCAAAGGAATCGGAGGGATGGAGATCAAAATGTCACCCTTTTTACTGACCAGTCATGCAATGGGACAAGTGTTTCCTGATGCAGCATGGAATTAAATAGAATGGCCTACTGATCCACTAAAGGGAACTCACGATGATTCTCTGCCCACAGAGAATCCAGAAGGGCTGGTGCAGGCCTGTCTACCTTGCTGCCCCTCCCCAGGCAAGTGAGACATTTGTCTCGAGGAGTAAGTGACAGGGAAAGAAAGGCCATGAGTGTTACTATAGTGGGAACTGTAGCACAGATGGATGGAGAAGGAGGAAACAAATGCTCCCTGCCCGGTAGCTATTCTGAGTAGTAGCAAATAAAGCTGCTCTATAATTAAGTAAACTGAGTGATTCTCTCTCAAGGGGTCTGTAAGCAAAATTAGCCAGATCTATTACGGATCCATCAGCCCAGAGCAGAGTGGCAGTGGTAGCTGCCGTCTTAGTGGTAGGAACCATGGCTGAGACCAACGGTGAGCAAAGTGAGTGCACATTTGCACACAAAGCCTGCTGTCTTTAGGAATTAGAGCCAGAGGCTGGAGAGATGGATCAGCAACTTAGAGACCTGGCTCCAGAGGACACGTGTTTGGTTTCCAGCACCTACACGGTGGGTCACCAGGTACACATGTGATACACAGACATGCATACCAGCCAATACCCACACACATAATTTTTTTTTAATTTCAAAAAAGAAATTAGAGATAGTTTAAAGTTATCCCCCATAGTACCATCTTTCCCTTCTTCTATATTTAAGTAGGAGGAAAGGAGGAGAAACAGCTTTCTAGGAACTGCACAGAGCCCTCTTTGCCTTCCCTGTGCAGAAACTCGTTTTGAAGGGCATTTAATGGGACTATTAACAGTAGTGGCCACCATGAATAATTGAAATACTCAGTTATTGTCACAGTCATTTCTAATCCCTTTTTATTTTACTCAGGGATAGATTTGATTAAGAAAGCATAGGAAGGGGCTGGAGAGTTGCCCCAGTAGTTAAAAGCACTAGCTGCTCTTTCAGAGGATTAGGGTTCGATTCCCAGTCCCCACGGGGCAGCTCACAACTGTCTGTGACTCTAGTTCCAGGGGGATCTGACACCCTCACCCAGACATGCATGCAAGCAAAAACACCAATGCATATAAAGTTTAAAAAAAATTAAAAAGCATATGAGGTTTCTTAAATGAATACCAACATGACACATGGTAAAAATGGCTCTACAAATGTCTTCTGGCTAATGACAGAAGTACAATCCCAAGGAACAGCAGCCCATGTAATTAAGACTATGAAAACTGCAAGAACAATGCTCTTATTATAAAAGGTTAATGAACAAGGTTGGTATCATAATCCGAACAATAAAGGCTGAGAGTTCTGAAGTTTTCAGTTGTACACACCTGCTTCTAAGGGACCAATGTCATTAAATCTAGCTAGCCAGGCTTTTTTATTTTTTTATTTTTAAAGGAGAGACAGGGAGCAAAGTCCCCCCACTACCATCAACTATGCAGTCAAGATTTCCATATTTGGGGTCAGCACATGTGAAGTGTAAGAGGGGAGCCCCGCCCTAGGAAAAGGACTTTGATGCTTAACTGCTACTTAAGAATTAGGCTTCGTTTTCCAAACAAAAGTCACAAATAGTTTTTTGTTGTTGTTCTGTTTCTCTCTCTCTCCCTCCCTGTGTGCATGTGTGTGTGTGTGTGTGTGTGTGTGTGTGTGTATGGAGACAGACAGACAGACAGACAGAGGAAGGGGGAGACACAGGCACAGGCAGACAGAGGGGAGAGAAAAAGCCTGTGTGTCGTGGCAAATGTGTGGACGTCAGAGCATAACTTGCGGAAGTCGCTTCTCTCCTGCTGTGGGTCTTGGGATCAAACTGGGGTTGTCAGGCTTGGAGGTCAGCACCTCTCCCCAGAGTCTCTTTTTTTTTTTTTTTATGTGCATATATAGTAAGAAGAACAGAGGGGTTTTTAATTTAAATTCAATTCCATTTCCCCTCTTCCCCCCTCTTCCTCTCTCCAACCCCCCCCCGTGTTATTTTCTTTCAATCCCTCCCATGAGACCCTCACTCCCACTCAAACTCACAGCCTTTTTATTATTGTCACATGCATATGCATAAATGTACAAATAGAATCTCTTGACTCCAGTTAATGTTGCTTATATGTATATGATGTCGGGGTTGGCCGCTTGATATCAGATAACCAATTGGGGGTAGGTCCCAAATCTTAAAACCAGATTAGTAACAGTTGTTTGTATTACAAAGCCATCACTTTATATTTGCTACAGCTCTATTATTTATTTGATCAAAAGTGAATTTATACACGTTTCTCTAAGAAATGACATCCACAAAAAAAAAAGCTCATAATGTTTTTGCTCTCTGTCATTATACCAACCACCCACTTTGGCAAGCTTTTGTCCAATTCCAATTAAATTGTATAGGATACATAAAAATTGCTATGGAGGGGGGGAGGCAGAAAACTTGAGCACACCTGCCTTCTGCAGAAAGTTGGCATCAGTCCTTTCGACACCCTCCTCCCCTCCCAGGGAAGCCTGAGAGGAGCCCATTTGTCCTCAGCAACAGGTCAGCTCTGTTGCTAAGTGTTTGTGACACGGGGAAAGTAAGCCAATCACAGAGGTGCCCTGGCAGTGTGACTGTGACACGCCATTATAAGTAGGGCAAGGGCTCCCTTTCTGCAACCCTTTTCCTCTCCATTCCTAACTGACCACGAGGACAACATCTACAATGGCCAAGTCCATCATCAAAAGATACCACTATGTCAAAAGACGCCTAAGAGGAGCCTCCAGGAAGCAGTCACGCCATTCCAGCATCAACTTTGGCCAAAGAAATTACTCTCTCTACATAAACAGGGTCCTGAAGGAAGTTGTCCCCAAGAGAGGCCTGTCGTCGCACACTTTGGATGTTATGAACATCCTGATCAATGACATGTTTGAACGCATTGCCACGGAAGCCTGCCATCTGATGTACCTCAGAAAGCGCTGTACCCTCACCCCAGAAGATATCCAAAAGGCGGTGTGTCTGCTGCTGCCGAAGAAGCTGGCTAGGTTTGCAGTGACTTTTGGAAGTGAGGCAGTGCACAGATTTGTCCACTCCTAAGCTCCATGTGCAAGCCTCACCGGAACTTGGGGAAAGTAAACCGAACTCCGATCACCTCAGCGTTCGATTCACTCTTGGTTATTGTTGTGTTTTACACGTGTGGGTGTTTTGCCTGGTGCCTAAGGAGGCCAGAAGAGGCCATTGGGTCCCCTGGAACTGGAGTTACAGGTAGTTGGAGCCTCCATGTGGGTGCTGGGACTCTAACCCAGTTCCTCTGGAAGAGCAGTCACTGCTCTTAACTGCGAGCCTTCTCCAGTCCCCATGCTTCCATGAACTTCCACCCAATTTATTGACTTTCTTTTTTGTTGTTGTTGTTTTTGTTTTTTGAAACTCACTACATAGTTCTGGCTGACCTGAAATTTGCTTTGTAGACCAGTGCCATCATGCTTGGTCACTTTTCTGGGTATAAAATCTTTATAAAGGCTCTGAAGCTTTTCCTAATTCCATTTCCCTACCTGCTATCCTGAGAACACCCCACGCCACCCCACCCATTCCTTTGACCTTCTCTGTCCTCTAATGTCTGTATCTCTTAACCACTGGGCCATCTCTCCAGCCCTGTCTGTATCTCTAAGACAGCGCTTTCATTCTGTTTGTGTGGAAAGGACAGGCTCACATCACACATCACGTCACACTCTTTAAATTGTTTCTAAAGTTCCTACCTGCTGATGAATGTAGCTCTGGATTGCTTACACTCCTGTCTTAGCTGGGACTCATACTGTGATCACACCACACTTCATTGTATGCCTTCTCTTGACAGAGGTCAAAAATGCATCTCTTTTTCACTAAGAGCAGCCACAAGAGAGTTGTCATGGTAGCAGAAACAGAGTATTTGGTACATGATCATACCCTACTTGTATTAGTTTATTTAATCCCACAAAACCCTGTGAAGATTAAGTAATTATCCCCAGCCCCTGGAGGATGAAAATGAAGCACTGCCTGAGATCACCCTTGGAAGTAGAAGGACACCAGATCTGTCAGGGAGGCTAGACCATAGAGTGTGTACTCTCATACAAGAACTCTTCTAGGAAAATGCCTTGACAGCAGGATTCTTGAGACACTGGTGGCTTGTAGTCAGCCTTTCTGGGTGTTGCCAGGTTGTCTTCCAAAGAATTTGTTTGTAACAGACAACAGGAATTTGATTTTTTTTTTCTGGGTTAAGATACACACAAATTTCCATAAGAGAAAAAAAAGTCACTTGTTCCATGTCTCTTCGGGGGTTGGAACTAAAGCCTTTCTAAAGTCTTTCCCTGTTTCTTGGCCATGATCCATTCTCTGTTTCTCCTGGGTCCATTTGCTTCTGAATCTAACTTGTCGGACTTTCTGAAAACTCACCTGAGTAGGCTCTATTCACCTAGTCTAGACAGAGTGATGGGCACCTTAAAGCTTCAGTGACCTTCATCAGGTGTCCACATCTACCTAGGATCTAGCCCAACAAACTCACAGCTCAATGACTGATGGGAAAGGCCCTGAGGTCTAAGAGGGTCAGCAAACGACAACTTCTGGACCAACTCTGGCCACAAAGAATATCACAGTTCTTTTTTTATTTCTATACAGCGCCACAGCCCTAAGTGAGGCTTCTACATTTATGCACAGATGTTTAAGAAAAAAACGAAAACCACAGGAAAACAGGAAAAATATTCAACAGGCCTAATGTGGCCCACAAAGGCCTACAAATTAATAACGTAGTCAACAGTTGGCCACATTTGTGATGGCAGAGCCTGGAGATCACAATGCAGCTGTCTATTTTTATTCTTATCTTTACTTACTGTACTTTTCTATGTTTAGATGCACAAGCACCTCCCTTCCTGTTACAAATGTCTGCAAGGTTCAATATAGTAGTGCCCTGTTAAGGTCTACTGCCTAGGAGAAAAAAGCCATATCATCTAGTTTGTGTAAGCATGGTGTATTATGTTTACATAACTTGTAACAAAGCCACCTGATGCTATAATAAACACCTAAAAATAAGTCCATTCGTTGATTTTTAAAAAGAACCAACCCACAGACAAATCACTTATCAGTGCATTGCCCAAAAGATCATACCTCCCATCTGGAAGAGAAGTTTGCCAAGGGCAGGTTTGGCCCATGCTATGAACTTTTGTGATTTTAGTACATCAAGCTCTCAAAGCTTGCTGCCTTAGGTCAGTTTACAGAAAAAGTGTCTAGTTGACCTTTCAAATTACTGAAATAAGGAGAGGGTAAATGCAAATGGCATTCCATAATTCAGGCAATGGTCTACTTACGGAAAATTTCCCTTCTAGATTGAGGCATGAATTTTGGTTAAGGGAACATACATCCCGCATGATCTCTAAAGCATTTAAATAATAGATTTTCAAAATAAGATCAATATTGGGAGAGGGAATCCTTTGAAATACAATTGTCTTCAGGCATAATTACAGAAATGCATATGTGTAAAAAAAAAACCCTATTCTTGGAATATTTAAACTTTTTTGTAAAAAATATTGACTAGATACAAGTTTTCATCCTGTGGTTCAGTGGCCGCTGTGCTTTGGTCACCACCGTCCATCTCTAGGACCTGTACCTCGCTGAACCTGTACCATTAAACAATAACTCCACTGTGTCCTCTTCTGGGTCCCCTCAAATCCACTCTTCTGCCCCCCTCCCCCGTGTAGGCGCAGTTGTAAAGTGTTTCACTTTGGTAACCACCATGTCACTCAGGGAGATATCTTCCAGCTCATCTATGTTGAGAATGCCAGAATTCCCTTCTTTTTAAGACTAAATTCCTTTGTATACATCTAATGCCATCTATTTATTCATTTATTGATGGATGGTTACATTCCCTTCATTTTTTTCAGCCACTGTAAGCAGCGCTGCTATGAACATGGTGTCTATACAAGTGTCTATTAATGGCCGTGCCCCCCAATGCTACAGAGTATATCCCTGAAAGTTTAACCTGTGGGGTGCTGAAGACATGACTCAGCAGGTAAAGGCACTTGCTGTCAAGCCTGACTGCCTGAGTTTCATCCCCAGGTCCCTCGATCCCTGTGCGGTAAAGATACCAGAGCACCAAGCTGGAGAGGACACAGGTCTCATGACTGAACCACCCTTGTAGCCACGGCTGCCCTGTGTTGACGTAAGAGAAATACAGTTTAACTTATTTACGCCAGTATTATTTTGAATTATTATCACTCATACTCTAACTTAATTCTAATACAGACATCCAGAAGATCGCTGACTACCACACAATGTAGTTAGCATCAAGATGATTACAGACTTATTAAATAAAAACATATTAACCTAGAAATGGAGGCTGATTCCTTGTGTACTGCCAGATGACGTTGCGGCAAAATGAAATTTCACGTCACTTGGCAGCCCTGTTCTCAGAGATACACAATGCAGATGGTGAGAGCCTGCTTGTAATTAGTCTGCTGGGCATGTGATGTGACTTTGAAAGATTATTGAAAGTTAAAGATATCAATAGATTCAAAGATGACAGGAAACAGAATTTTCTACCATCAGCGATATGAACAAATATGGATTCCGTGGACATCTGAAACCAGTGGTACACATCATATGTCACACACCAACAAGCTAAAATAATGCTGATTTTATAATACTGATTCTAAAGTGAAAATCACCCAACAATAAAACCTTGGTAATTTTGAACCAAGCCAGTGGCAGCAAATACAATGAAAAAAAAAGAAGGGATGAATCTGAAGGATATTAGGAGACAAAATCGTAGCAGCTACTGTGATGTGCGTAATAACAGATGATCTGCCAACTAGACACTCACTGGGGCTCTGGCCCAGGAGCCTCAATGAATAGACACAAGTCATTAGGCACTGTGTACTTGGCACTACAATGTAAAATAACTACGCAGTCTGCAAGCAACAGTTTTACGTGGTGACAGATGAGGCTCAAAATGCAGAGACGACCACGAGTGCTTGCTTAGAGCTCAGGAGAGGTCAGCTTGAATGTTTAATCCTTGAGATCATTCCTTATCAGATATGCCACATATCAGGGGTTGACAGGCTTACCTCTGATAGCTGATTATTTCACAAGACATTTGGCAGCGTGGGGAAAACTAGCAGGCTACGTTAGTTGGCTTCAAGATTAGGAGTCCAGAATATAATTTCAGTTCAGCAGAAGGAGAGTGACAACTGACTGGGTTCATGGCTGCCTCCTTTGTGGATGCTGTGGTTGCCATGGCAACCATGGTGGATTCCTAGAAGAGGAGACACACTTGCTCTGGAATACAGCAAGTGAAATCTCACAAACTTATATTCTGGAAGCTAAGAAGAGCTCTGCAGGTGTTAGTCATGTATTGTGTCCCCAAGCAGCATCTCCCACTCACTCCAAAGAAACTCCGCCCACTGTTTCAGTAAGAGATCTCAAGCAATACGGCTTTACCCAAAGAGATGAGAGAGAGCAGAAGATCAAGGGAAATTCACTATATCACATGCATGCGCGCACACATTCATGCGCGCGCGCGCACACACACACACACACACAAGGCCTATGTGGAGCTCCATGTGTGCATCTGCCGTGGACGCCCAGAGGCAGCAAAAACTGTAAAAGTAAAAAGGGGGAAAGAACTGTAAAATACAAAACACAACATTTTAAACAATGTGTAATGGGGATAGGAAAAGAGAAAGAAATATTTGAAATAATAATAACTTTTCACTGTAACCTACCTATACTTCCCATAGAGCAGTATAATAATGCCATAATGTAAACTTGGTCTAGTTGTTGAGGGACATTGCACAGTCTAAAGCAACTAGTAAAAAGGGTGAAAAAAGAAGTTAATTTCTAAGGGAAAGAGATTCACATAAAACATTAAAGCCACAAAAAGCAGAAAAGGTTCAAGAAAGATAGGAACAAAGGGCAATGTCAACATCAACACACTAACCCAGCTGTAAGTCAGTTATTGCTTTGAGGGGCTGGAGGGACTGCCCCATGGGTAAGAGTAAGTGACCTGAGTTTGAGGGCCTGAACTAGACTCCGAGCACTACTATCCATGACTCCAGCTCCAAAGAATTCCAGCACCTCTACCCTC